ATTACATTGTAATAACATACAATACATAACATAACATAACATACATACATAACAATATTAATAATAATAATAATAATAATAATAATAATAATAATAATAATAATAATAATAACAACAATAATAATAATAATAATAATAATAATAATAATAATAATAATAATAATAATAATAATAATAATAATAATAATAATAATGTAGGTAGGTTTTACTCACCGGAGTTTTCTACTCGACTGGCAGTGTAGGACAGTCGGGTCAGGTGGTGTTTTTCGTGTGAGCACTTCGCAGGTCCGTGCAAAGTCATGATCATGTCAGCATTAAAAAAAAAAAATTTCTCTTCTTTTTTTGTTTTTTCTTTTGTTTTTTCTTTCTTTCTTTCTTTCTTTCTTTCTTTCTTTCTTTCTTTCTTTCTTTCTTTCTTCATTTTTTTTTTTACCGATTTGAACTTTTATTTCCGTACTGCCGGTTTCACATAGTTTACAACACATTGGCGCGCCTCTGCCAAAACAGTGCGGCGGCCGCCGCCGGGATGTACATTTCACATTTTCTATGCTCTGCGAGGTACCGTGTTGGCCTTTCAGCCTGCATGTTGTGGTTCCTGTCGAGTAACAGGAGCGGATTGTATAGCTTGGCTAGGCGGGGTTGAATGGTTAGTATTTGCGCTTGGATTCACAAGGGATGAAGACGGAGGTCGCCCACGTCTTAGTGCCTGAGCAACACGTACTGGTTGCGACAGATCCACACATTTGGAAGATATTAACAGAGTTTCCTGAAATCCTCGAGCCAACCTTTTCGGCCTCCGAAGTGAAGCACGGTGTTTCTCATTTCATCCCCACCACTGGTCCACCCGTACATGCCAAATCACGTCGGGGTCACCAATGTAAGTAGGTCTTTACTCTCCGAAGTTTTCTACATGTACTCGACTGGCCGTGTACAAAGCACTCCAAGAATTTCTTGGAATGCTAAACTTCTACCATCGCTTTCTACCTCGAGCTGCATCAGTACTACGCCCTCTCTACGAAGCTCTGAATAGAGAAAAGAAGAAAACAAAACTTTGCTGGATGGAACAGATGACTACAGCCTTCCAGGCCAGCAAACGCGTGCTTGCCAACTGCACTCTCCTCTCGCATCCCAGAACAAACGTTCCCATCGCCTTCATGCAATATGTCTATGAGGCCTGGCAACCTTGCCTGGCAACCTTGCCTGGCAACCTTTAGCATTTTTCAGCACACAACTTCGAGAGCCAGAACACATATGGTCGAGAGTTATTATAGGACTCTATCTTGCCGTCTCACCCCTGCTGGTTGGGGGGGGGGGGCATAGTTTTACTATGGGGGAGCAAAGAATACACCTGCCGTGATACTGCGTGTCGTAGAGGCGACTAAAAGTGCATAGGTCTGGCCACCCGAAAAGTGCCAGTTTGCGGAGGGCCAACTACCCAACCCAGTAAAAAAAAAAAAACCCAGTAAGTTACAGAAACACGGACAAACACAGCTTTCTATTTTTCGATCTTGGGAGACGGGGGAGCTTCTGTATCAGCATGAACAATGAAAGACAGCGGACAAAGCCGAAAGGACTCTTCTGACCCGAAACCTTCTCTGTCGAACAAGTCTCTCCGGATTGCGTCGTGGAATGTTCGCACCTTGTATCAAGCAGGAAAGAGTTCTTAAGTAGTACAAAAGATGAAGAGATACAGGCTGCACATACTAGGAGTCAGCGAAACACACTGGATACAGCCTGGACGGAAGCAGCTCAGCTCGGGGGAACAAATATTGTATTCTGGGAGGGAAGACTAGTACCACGCGGAAGGAGTGGGAATCATTTTAAGTAAGCATGCACAGAAGTCACTTAGAGGATGGGAACCACACGGGGAAAGGATCATCATGGCTTCATTCACTACAAGGAGCAAGAGCATCAACATGAATATAGTACAGATCTACGCCCCAACAAATGATGCTTCGGATGAAGACAAGGATACCGTTTACAGCCAGCTCCAAACTACCAAGGAAGGATGTCAACATTGTAATGGGAGATGCCATTGCCAAGATTAGTCTGGACAACGTGGGGTATGAAAGAATTATGGGACAACATGGCTTGGGACAAGTGAATGAGAACGGGGAGCGATTCGCAAATATATGTGCTTTCAACAGTTTTGTTATTGGAGGCTCTGTATTTCCCCACAAGAGGATCCACAAGGCCACTTGGGGTTTCGCCAGATGGAGTGACGGAGAACCAGATAGATCATTTTTGCATCTCTCGTAAGTTCAGGCGTTCACTGGAAGATGTCAAAGTACAGAGAGGGGCAAATGTTGGATCGGATCATCATCTGCTGTTGGCAAAACTCAAGCTTCGACTAAAAAAGCACGGAACCAGCACAGGAATCAAAAGAAAGTTTCAGCTGCAGCTGAGGAACAGATTTCAACCTCTGGCTCATCTTGGCGGTGAGGACATGGAGGTGGATACACACTGGACCAAGGTCAA